CATTGTTGTACATATTGTAACTTAGGCACACAAAATCTCGAATGGTTTTAACCATGAATATAACGATACCTGCACTTAAAAACCCGTCATAATTTTTATACCCCACACCACACTGTGGTACTGGGTATTATGTCATTGTGCATTTGTTTGTAGCATGGAGAAAGAAGCGGGTCTATCTCGCTCGATTCTTTGGATGATCTCCAGCGAATCACGTTTTATGCATGCCCGTCCGTCCACCCATCTGAAAGTCAGTTCATGCATTTTTGTAAACAAATTTCAGGACGACATAGATGAAATTTTGCAAAATAAAACAATGCTAATTGTTTGACCCGAGGATGGACGAATTGTATTTGGAATTGGACATAATCGGTCAAAATTTAGATATGACTCCCACGCGCCATATGTGTAATATTAGTCCAAATAGGATGATGTTTGGCATATACGACCAATTTGAGCCTAGAAACAAGTATGTCAAGTTTGGAGGAAATCTGTTCAGATATACCAGGCGCTCTAATATATATTGTTTGCCCGATTTGCTCTTCTATCATATGAATTCTGTTTGATTGTAGCTCCATACGTATACAGGGTGAGATGAAAAAACTGCAACCAACTTAAGACTGCTGTCATTTCCAAGCCACTCGTCCGACAGCTCTTAAAATTATTTCAGTGACAGCTCATTATATTTTTTACAAGCTTAAAAAAGCATTTTGGTGAGAAACAGTTATTCGTGATGGATTTCAAGCTTGATAATGTCAAATGGTTCGAAAGTAGAGAAGCGACTTGGTCGAAACCCGCGTCGCAGTGGCCGTGAGCTGAACATATCGCAATATTCCATTTGGGAAATATTGAAATATGAGCTCGGGGTAAAGCCATTGAAATTCCAAAAAGTGCAAAAACTTACACCGCATCAGAAAGAAAATAGACTCAAAAGAGCTAAATAGTTGCTTCGCTTGGCCGAAAGTGGTGAAGAAAAAAACATTCGTTGTCCAGCAGTTTGTATACAAAGAAAATGATCGTGTTTACTTGCCACAGAGGTCAGCTGAAAATGTGCACCTTCGGTTGGCCACCAGAACTCAAGCGCAGGCCATGGTGATGGTGTAGGCCGCCATAACAGCCGATGGTCGCTCTCCGCTCGTATTAATCGACAGTGGCATTAGAATAAATTCCGAATATTATTTGGAGGGTGTATTAAACCCTTGGGCACGCAAACATTTTGGCCGCAGACCTTGGACATTCCAACAGGACTCAGCACGCACCACTCAAGAATGGTTACAAAATGAGTTTCCTCGCTTCATTTCCAGCGCACAATGGTCACCAAAATCTCAGGATATTGGAAAGCAAGTTTGGCACTAAAGAATACCAAAGTGTCGATCACCTCAAGCAAACGCTTCGGGCAGCGTGTAACGGTTTCATTGGCCGTTTGAAGGCCATAATTCGTACCAAACGTGACCAATTCGAACAAATGAAAACTTATTCTAAAATTTGATGCTATTTCCGACATTTTTTGTTTTCATTCAATAAAATTAAACAAAAATTATAAATTATGGCGCTAGACTTTGTTCCAATTTTTTTTATCTCACCCTGTATGTTGCATCCGATTTTGTATTTAAGTCCCTCACACGTGTGAAATTCACTTAAGGACAACGATATTTGGTGCCAGCTACCAGATAAGGCATACAAATACCTTTACTAAATTTTATGGAGTTAGGTTCAAATTTGTATGTAGTTTGCAGAGAGACGCTCATAGCTCCGTCAGAGTAGAATATACCTTGCATATATTAGTTCCTTTCGGTTTCAAATTATAACTATCATAGTACACTATACAAACATTTATTTGTTACGAGTAGCTCTACTCAATATGCATAGTGGTGTAGGGAATAAAAAAATCGGCCCGGCCGACTTTTGACCTTTCTTTACTGGTTTGAGATTAACACTTTTTTTAGAAATAACCTACGATGTGGGGAAAGCCAATAAAACTGAATATAGAAAATTATATTTGTGCTTGTTCCTGAAATTTATTTTGCAATTATTTAAAGTGCTAAATACTCGATTACTTAAGTCTGGAGTATTCCCCTATAGACTTATTATATTCATATAACCTCCTATTACAGAGAGTAGTGTTTTTCAAAAAGAAACTGACATTTTTGCTGATCGCTACCAATATTATGATTTCATCTCGGCGAAGAGAATTGGACGATTTTGGTGAAAAGCAAGCATTTTAAGAGTCAATAATTCTATAGGAAATGAGAACATACTTACTTCCCGCCTTTCCGAAAAATCATCAGCTAAATATTCTTTCGGCTGTAGCATTTGAGAAGAGAAGGATTGTAAATAGTGTTAAAAATAGCAAAACCATAAATTACACATGCCACTATTTGTACATGGGCCACACATGCAACAAAAAATTACACACAATATGTATAATTACACATGAGGTGGCAACATTGCAATAGGGTCAAAAGAAGCAGTGCCCAATATATAAATTCCCAGCTTTGTGATGTGACTTACATGTTGACGTTCTCCGTTGTTGTATTTGGTCCACACTTTTGCAACTAAAATTAAAACGTATTGTCACATAAATTTCACACAAACTTTTTAAATTTTTAAAATTTAAATTGAATTGCCGAAATATTATGTTGACGGAAATTCCGTGCTATGTTAAGTACGAAGCATAAGAGTATGCATTGAGTGTAAGAAAAACACATTTTCCAGCCATGTAGCTCTATTTTAATAATTTACAATTCTAAAAGATCAAAAATGGCATGTCCGTGTGTTATCGTGTATCGGCACAAGTCAATTATTAGGTCGGTAAAGTTCGAAGTTTTCTAATTAATTGGAATATAATTTTGAATTCCTAATACGTAACTATAAGAAAACCATCATCCGTGGTATTTTGCTTTGTCCACCTCATGATTTAGGGTGGTCCAAACTTAATGATCTTCTATACCCTCCATACGACAGGGGCACATTCATTTTGCTATTCAGCCTGTAAAACCCCGAATTAATAACAAATGGTAAAATTCAGAATGAAATACTGATCCTACTAGCATATTTTACACTTTTACCTTCCCCATTCACAAGAGCGTAATCACCAAGTTCCAAAATTAATACAATGTAGTACTTTTCCTCTACTTGTAGTACATTTCCAAAACCACCTTTTTATTTTAACCATACCCAATACGTTCACCTAAAACAAAATTGGATCAAATTCTGTCATTGTACCAAATTTAGTGCCATCTTGCACTTTGTGCGCAATTCCAAACCGCCCCATTTATCTTTATGATTATGTCAAATTATAAGATTTTAACTCTATCTCTTCACATAATACTAAATGATACCACATTTATTGGCTTTTTGTACTGTATAGGTCGAATTTCGGAATTTTGTACTGTTTTAGTTCGAATTTCCTTTGATTTGTCTATCTAACACTCTACAAGCCATCCTCATACCAAATTTCAGAATTCTAGCTAAACAAAATGGATTCATTTCGTAGTATCTTCTACTACACTTATATTATGAATTTTCAAAAACCCAGCCTTATCACACTCCTTAATACCAATATTGACGCACATGCAAAAATTCAAGATTCTAGCTTCAGCCGTTTTACCTGGGTGATAATAAAGTCAGTTATGAAAGGTATTGTAAAAATGTATAGTAACTCATTAATTAACAACAGCTGAACCGATTTGACTCAAATTTCCTTTCAGTTGTTTACAGTTGTTGTAAAAAAGTTTTTACGAAAGAAAAGCATCCAGAAAGTCGCGAAATTGAAAATTATTTAAATTGTCTTTGGGTATAGAATTTTGTATAGGATTGTTCTGGAATGGCTGTTCTGTATTTTTAAGATTTTAAGAGAATGTTTAATGGATTTCATTTATTTTTTTTTAATTTTCTAATTCTTCTCAGATAGTGGAGGGTATTCAAAGTTCGGCCCGGTCGAACTTACTGCTTTTTTACTTGGTTTTGTGTAAATGTACATTTTCAAAAAGAAATGTCTTTAATTCTGAACCTAAATATTGTCCGATGACCGTCCAAATTGGTAGATTTCTGCTCAGCCCTAAACTCTAACACCATGTCGTGTCAGCAAAATCAGGAAATTGTTCTGTTTTTTGGTGCATTTCAACCCCTAAATATGTTGTGATCTTCTCCAAAAACAATAGGCTTCTATTCTGACCCTTACCCCATTTTCAATTTCGGACAGACGGACATACATACCTGGATTTACTTAGCTCGGCGAGATAGGAAGATCCATATGTGGTTTCCTATGTCGGGGACCAATATTTCGAGGTATTACACAATTTTTGGTCCAATCAAACTTATAATACCACCAACACATAGTTTTATAGGGTATAAAAATTCCGAATATCAAATGTTACTCTTATATGGGGCTATACGAAAATGTGTACCTCTATCTTTCAGAAGAGGTGGTATCTATTACGAACTCAAAGCGTTATGTTTGAGATAATTCTGGTGAATAATTTAGCTTCAATCATCAAAATACCGAATATTAGGAGGTACCGTCATATTGGGTCTGTACGAAGACGTTTATCTTTGCAGACCATTTTCTGTCGTAGGAGGTAGTACCCATTACAAACTCTAAATACAATACCGAAAGAAGGTGTGGCGGGTATGTAGTTAAAGATATAGCCGTGCTAATTTAGTTCGATCGAAAGAACTAGTTCCTTATTTAGTTCCATGAGCTCCAGTCATTTGTATGAAAACTCTGCGTATGAGTGATATTAGATTTATAAAATCTCTCATACGTTTAGGAACTGGTGTACTGAAATATGAACTAGATGGACACAACTTTAATTAAATGCTTTGTTTCAGAACCTACAAGAATTTACTAGTTTTGCAATTTTTTTCGGTATTATAAAGGAAAAATCTGTTATCATAGTAAGCATTTTTAATTAGACAATTATTTTCCTACGGAGTTTGTTACTGTTGTTTTTCAATAAAAAATTACAAAGAATTCCGTGTTGAAATTTGGATAAAATCATAAAAATACCTAAAACCTGTATTGTTTCCAATTAAAAAAAAGTTATAAAGTGTCAGTCGGGTTTGCCGGCATATGTACAACCTCACCCAATATTCGGTAATTTAAATATAATTTGACTTATGTTATGATTATTCAAATTGTTGACTCTCTATGGGGTAGGTTCTGAAGGAATGGGGTAATGTGGTCCATTTCGTATCGGGCCTAAATAAATATGATACAAATATTGTTAAAATGTGCGTGAGGTACCAGATGCAGTAGACCCAAGGATTGCAATTCCATTCGTCGTCTAAAACAGATAAAAATATTGGTACCATAAAAATTATAAGAAAATCGAAATCATAAATTCCATATTGGCATGTTCCTCAAGTTATGACAGAAAAAAATACCGAAAATTGTGACCCTTTGTGGGTGAGGGTGAGGGCTGATATATTTTATCTTCACAATAGACCTTGTGTTAGCAAAATTTTTTGTGTGAAATTTCAGGAGAACTGGATGCTTATTCAATACCTTGAACCCGATGTAGGGAACGTACCAGAAGAAATGGTCAGATTTTTACCATCTTTATAACAGATCTTGTGTTGTTCAAAATGTTGAGAAGTCTGAATGGGATCGGCTGTAAATTTGGCATTTTATGAGCTTCACGGATATTAAGAATTTGATTTTTTAGAGGAGGTACCAGAGGGAGAGGATCGATATATTCCATCTTCAAGGCAGATTTCGTGTTAGTAGAAATAATTGGATGTTTGAAATATGAAGAGAACCGTATGCATATTTCGGATTTTATAATCGTGTTTGCTATTCAAAACTTTCACCCTTTGTGGGGGACGCACCAGAAGGAATTGCTCGATCTCTACCATCTTAATAACAGATTTTCTGTTGGTAGAAATATTGATATATGCCAAGTCTGAATGGTCTCAGATATTAATTTCACGATTTATGAGCTTCATGGATATTCAAAACTTTGACCCTTTGTTGCGGAGGTACCAGAAGAAGTGTAGCGATATATTCCATTTTCTCGCCAGACCATTGGTTAACAAAATGTTGTGTTGCGTGTAATTTGAAGATAATCGGGCTCTTACATCACATTTTGTAAGAGTTATAATTATTCAAAATGTTGACCCTATGTGGGGAAGGTACTTGATGCAGTTGACCGATATTGTCTATTTTAGTACCTGACCTAGCATTGATGTAAATATTGGGATTTGCAAAGTTGGAGTAAAATTGGGTTTCTCATTCTGTGCAGTAATTTTTTTTTTTTGGAAAATTTCGACTTTTTTTTGGTTAGGTACCAGAAGGAGTGGATCAATATTGTTCAACTTCGAACTCGATCTATATATACCAATTTATATATAGCCTCTCTAGCCATATGGCTGAGAGAATTAAAAAATGTGACTAAAATAATCAAAATACCGAATATCGGAAGGTACCGTTTTCAGTGCGATATGGGACCAATTCTTTTGAAAAATGTGGCTACCGATTATTTATTTTTCATTTCATTACCAACGAATACAAACGCCAAATTTCAAAGCTCTATGTCAAATAATGTGGGTGGTATTGGGATTTCGAAAGACAGGCAGATGGACATCGTTAAATCGAATTATATATTTTATGCTTATGATAAATATATGTACTTAAAAAGGGTATACGACGAATATGTAGAGGTATTACATATGGAATGACAAATTTAATATACCCTGTGTTCACGGATAAGTGAACATGTTTTTATAATAAAAGAGAATAGCGGGGTCTACCTAGTGTAGAAGAGAAGGGTAGACCTTTGAGTTAGAAATAAATAATTCAATTGCTGCATGTGGTATGTTTGAGTTAGATTACGGGATGAGATCTTAACTCATACTGATAAGCAAGTGTAGCATGTTTGCTTGCCACAAGTGAGATAGCTACGCATGTTTTATGAACTCCCTGATTTATGGCGGCATGGTGCACATGCATGTATACATTTGTATCTCTCTATTTCTCTCTCTCTCTCTCTCTCTCTCTCTGTTACACTTTATGCTAGACTAGGTTAAGCAAAATTATCATAAGTAGAACTTAAGAATTATTTTAAATGAATAAATCAGTGTAGTAAGAATAGTCAAACGGTGCATACATTATTCCGCGTACACCCCGCTTTCCATGCTGGAAGTTTTAAAAATGAGATGCCAAATTTTATATAATTTCTTCTTTATATGTTACAAGGAATAATTCAGATAAAATGACTCTGAAAGAGTTTTTTTCGATATAAGGTATTCAATGTTTTTATATCTCGTACGATGTGAATAATGTTCCCTGGAAGATCTAAAGGGACACTCATCTTAAACTTTAACTAAGTCTCACATAGTTTTTTTTTTTAATCATTGTAATTTAAATGGAGTTTGAATTGGTGGGCTCCAAGTAAAAAAATTGTCCTTCAAATTTATTAGAAAATGAGTAACCCTTTGGGGAGAATATTTGAAAATAAGCCTTTTTGGTTACTTTATGATCACTTAAAACCGTACCTCATTTGTTATCGATACATACATTGTACCAGCTGGCCATGAGTCTAATATATTCTCAATTTGTATAGTTATTGTTGACCTTTGATCAATATATTTTCTTCTGGTTTTTCGTTTGGCTCGAGGTCAGAATTTAAAAAACAGACGAATTTGTTTTTTTATATATTAATTTATTTGTCCGATATTTCGACTATCCTCGATAGTCATCATCAGGGATTTGACTTGAAAAAAACAATTAACATTTAGTATGAATAAATAAAACAAAACACTATAACGATAATTACATTGGATTTTAACTCTTCTGTTTTTAAGTTCTCTGATGCAGCTTTTCCAACCTTTCCTTTTTACTCGAATTTTCCAACTAATTTTTCTTATGCTTTTCGATGACATTTCTATAAATTTGAGCACAATGTTCCGTGTCAGTTTTGTAGTTCATTCGTTTATTAGGAGGTACATTTATAATATGTAGCATTTCTAACATGTACCTACGTTTGTAGTTATTTTCTTGTGCCAAGATGTCGACATCTTTGAAATTGGGCGTATGTCCTTCTTGTTGGCAATGGGCAGCAAGGGCAGTTTTTTGCTCTATGGGTTTAGTTTTTGTCTTTTGGTCCGATTTATGAGAGCTAATACGAGTTTTTAATTTAGATTTTGTTGTCCCAACATATGCCTTCGGACATACGTTGGACCCGTCCCCATTACATTTAATCTTATAAACGACGTTAGATTTATCCTCGTGTGGAATTTTTGTTTTAGTTCTACTAAAGAAATTATTGTTGGTGTTACTGCTTCTGAATGCCAATTGATACTTCTCACTATTATACATGTTTGATGAAGAAAATCTTTCCGAAAACCCTGGTATATATGTAGATCTTTTATATGTCTTTTCCACTAATTTTGTATTTTGGTATTCTCTATTACCCTCAGCGCGTTTAATCAATTCATTAACAATGTTACTAGGGAAGTCATTCATTTTTAAAATCTTTATGATTTTGATTTTGTTCTTTGCATGGAATTTTCTGTCACTTATTTTCAAGACCCTTTGGATAAAGTTTGTGGCCGTGTTGATTTTTATTCGTCGCGGATGCTTTGAATGGTAATTAATTAATCTACCCGAGGCTGTTGGCTTTTGGTACCAATCTAATAGTAACTTTTTTCCTTCTCTTTGTACTAAGCTATCTAGATATGGTAACTGATTATTCAATTCACTCTCCATCGTAAACCGTAGTTGTTTATTGTACATATTCAGCGTCTTAAGTGTATTTTCCACTTCCTCCTTTTTTACGATGCAAAATATGTCGTCCACATATTTTGTCAAGAATCTGGGTTTGATAGTCAATTTGTTCATAGTTTCGTCAAGAAGTTTCTCCATTATTATGTCAGCAATGATTGGTGAAATAGGTGAGCCCATCGGCATGCCTTTTTGTTGTTCATATATCTTATCCTTATATGCGAAATATCTAGCGTCCTTAATACATGTTGTCAAAATGTCAATAAAAAGATCCATTGGTATATGTGTATGTTCCTTTATAATAGATCAACTATCTTTAATAGCACTAATAGCCAAGTTTACTGGAATGCTTGGGAACAAGGAAACCACGTCAAATGAAATTAAAATTTCGTCATCTTCAATATGTTGGTTATTAATCCTGGATTTGAAGTCTATTGCATCTTTAATGTTGTATTTTGAATCAACTGTCAATACTTTTAGGATTTTTGATATATATCTAGATAACTCATAAGTCGGCGAATTTGTAAATGAACATATTGGTCGTAGTGGTGTTCCCTCCTTATGGATTTTGGGCAATCCATATATCTTTGGTGGTATTGACGTTCTATTTATTAAGTTATATTTCAATTTCTCGTCAATTAGTTTTAACTCAAATAATTTTGTAACTAATTTATTGTTTTTCTCTTGTAGTCCTGTTGTTGGGTCTTTTCTTACACGTTTGTAAGTACACATGTCCATTAAAATTGCGTTCATTTTTGAATCATATTCTGTTTTTGACATGGCAACAGTTTTTCCACCCTTGTTTGCATTTAATATTAATAATTCTTTATTTTGTTTCAAAAATTTCGCCGTTTGGTCCACTGTGTTTAGAACAAACCGATCTCTTTTCCCTAATGTCGTTTTCCTTGTGTGGTCATTTATCAGAGTAATAAAATTTATTCTCGCATTCTCTTGTTGTTCTCTGTTATCCAACGTTTGAATGCACTCTTCTCCCTCAGCGATAATATCAAACAAGGGGAACGTCGTTTTTGTTGTTGGCAAAGAGAACTTCGGCCCAAGAGACAGCAACCATTCAACGTTGTTGGGTATGTCAGTATCTGTTTTATTTACGAACCATCACAACATTTATAGAGCTCAGATGATCGATTACCATGAATTTTAATTGTAAAGCAACGTCGATGAAACCTTAATGTAGGAGTTATATCCGCCAACTATATATACATAATTTGATTAACTTTGAATAACTTCAGTGTGAAGTGGAAACTTAAAAAAATTACCAAAAGCAGTTAAAGAATAATGAGTTAGATAATTTAATTTAAATCTGCAAACTACCAAAATTCTTAAAAAATACACACTAAACACCTCAGCGGCGTACAGACACATCGATGGCATTATTAACAACCACATCTTTGTTGGCAGGTGCGTTCTCTCGTTTACCAATTGGTAACAAAGTCTTTACTTTAATACAGACAGTCTCCTCATATTTTTTGTTACATAATTGTTTGTGGCATGCAATCATTGAAACCCATTTTAATTGGCTAAGTTAGAGGTCAGACATTAAGTCTGCGTAACACAAATTGGTTGTGAATGTTCGAAGCTGCTTTTATTTGAGATATAAAACCCGCATTTGATACGACATAACTTTTACTAAATGGCCAAACAAAGTTCATAGTCGTCCTTTTTCTCTTTTTTGTTATTTGTATTCTATTTCAATTAATAATGTTGCCTTTGGTCCGCAGCGTGTGTCATTGCAGAGTCTGTACGAAATATGTTAAATAAAAGCTCAAAGTGCAACGTCCCTTGTTCGAACAACAAATTAACTTAATTTAAATAAATTCCAATCATAATAAATGATGTTTAAATAAATCAACGTTTCTAATAAATACGCAAACGTTACAGGGGTACATAATATATGTATGTACTTTGTTTATTTTCAATAGTATTTTTATTTGGTCAATGACTTTGTACGTTTATGGAATTCTTCACGAAATGGCGTATTCAGCTGGCCGTACGCCTGGCTGATGAGTAACTTTTCGCAGCAATACACATAATATATACTTCGAATAAAGAAATAGAGTTTATCTTTGAAATTTGGAACAACTAAATAGTTGATTTTAATTGGGAAATTGGGAACATAAAACAATTTTGAACGCAGGTCTGAGCAGTTGAACTAATTTTGATTAGACTGCTACTTCAAAATATTATTTTTTAGGATTCCGACTACGGAGTCGACTTTGCAAACTCGACTCCGAAAAAAATTCCCAATAATGAAAAAATTCGCCATAATTTTTAATTTTTTTTTAATTATATTGAATGAAGGCAAAGAATGTCGGAAATAGCATCAAATTTTAGAATAAGTTTTGATTTGTTCGAATTGGCCACCTTTGGCACGAATTATGGCCTTCAAACGGCCAATGAAACCGTCGCACGCTACCCGAATGTTGCTCTGCGGTATTTTGG